AGCACTTGGGGGGGTAAGTTTACGTTTCCTGCACTGGGAGCTGCAGTTTCCAAAAGTTGAAATTCAATCCTGTTTTTCTGGTTTTTATCCTTAAACCAAGTCCTTACATTAGTTCAGGAAGAGTTCTACATATATGTAAAATTCTGTTAAATCTTCTGTTTACCTTTCACCTATTTGTGATTCGCCAGCCTGACTGCCTGCTCTCTTGGGTATTTCTGCATGTGCTATACAGGGAAATATTTGAAGAGGGGAGCTGGCTTATAGTTACACCAGGCCTGATTTACTTAGATAATTAGATAATCAAACACCCTAATGACTACATATGAAATTGCTGTGAATTTCTGTTTGGTTACATATGTAAATAAGCAGACAAGAGCCTAATGTTTCCAGGGCTGTAAGTCTCTTAAAGACTACCTTACAATTTATTCCTTCTCACCACGTGAATTTCAGCCCCTTTTCACATCTACACATTCCGCATCAGCTTGATGAAGCCTGGAACCATGCAGTGGGAATTCTGTATCCCAGCAAAACACCTGTTTTATCCTTATATACACAACTGGAAAAAAAATGCATGTACATTGTAATCATTTTCTAAATACCTCACGTAGAAAAGTACATGTTAAAGCACATAATTCACATGGTAAGTCATTGTCTCATTATAAGGGCTACTTAAGGAAGACGAGATACAAATCACACCATCTCTTTCAGTAACTTTGACTATCCGAGTCAAAATACTTCTTAGGAATCCATCTTTACTGACTGTAGTATGCTGTCTTCAGAAACAGTTTTTCTGAACACCGCTATTCCAATAAAATTCAAAGAAAATACCTATGCAATTTAAGAGATATACAGTCCAAGATTGGTTACTGTTGCTCTTTAATCCTGCTGTCATTTAATCTGAGGTGTGAGGCCATGACAGTGGGAGAAGAAGATCACTGGCCGTGGGGAGTCTGCATGTCTGTTTTCGCCTGAAAGAGGTTTTCAGACCTGAAAGAGGCACTGTGCTATCAGGCAGCTTCAGGAAGTCATATTTCTCCAGCTGTTATCAATACAGTTTGCATGCTTAGTACAAGACATAGCCCATTCATGAACTACTTATGTGTACATCAACGTTTTAAGAGATATAGATAACACAGTGTGTATGAATCATCGCTGATAGGTCAGTTCATACCTTGGATTCACAGAAAGCCCGAGAAGAGCTGGGATATCAACGTTTAAATACTGTTTTTGATACTAGATGGTGCGTCATGTACTAACATGACATTCAAATGTAATTGGACACAAATGGTAAATGGTATCTTATTTCAACTAATATTTAACAACTGATGATTAATGAGAGAACAAAATCCTCAATACCAAAAGAAAAGGAAATGACATCCTGCACAGCTGTTGCAGATGATGTGAAGTGTGTTATGGCTCATCTCCAACCTTGGACCAAGGAGATTAAGGAAACATTTGACCATATAAAAGTTAACAAATGAAAATACATTTGTGTAAAGGAGATGAACTTTGATTTCACATTGTATACATTAATCAATGGGGAAAAGAAACAAGAAAATAAAAAGCAGATGCCTATTTCCTTAATTTATGCTATGCACAATAATGTGTACACTTTTTTGTAGGTCTGCAGTTCGTGTTGATGAATGGGCTGTAGTGATTTCGGTATTTGAGTGAAAGGATAAAAACTAAAATTCATACAGACAAATATTCATACAGAGCCACAGATCACAGAGTAACAACATGTAGCGATGAGGGTATTCAGGTCAAAATATATGGAACCAGTTATTTCCATTGGACAGGGCAAAGTGAAAATGTTCAGATGACTAGCGTGAGCCTATTCCACTTCTAGGGACCAGCACTGAATTCATCTTCCATAAGGATTTAAAAGTTCACTACAGTTCAGATTGATCTGCACTGTAAACGAATACAGGGAGGGGAGGGTGTACAGCTCACTGCAATCCGGTATTCACACAAGAAAACATGAAGCTAACGTTGGAACTCTTTACGAGATAAAAAAAGATATGCCGGTTTCCTTGAGATGTTTGAGGTGTATGATTAAAGAAGACATGCATCTTAGGGGAGTGAACTTCATTCAAATCAGATCAAATCTTTAACTGAGTTACAACAATCAGTTGCAAAAATCAATCCTTTGGCACATCCAAGAAAGAATAAGCTTAAGCATTTGAGAACATCAGAGGGACCACGATGACAAAGACACCCTTTACCCACCGGTACAATTCGATACCTTTCATCCTGCTTAAGCACACAGCAGTTAATGGTCTCGGGAGCCGCAATTAGACAATTTTGCAGCCCTTGTTTTGCCAATGTTAAAAAGTGTACATTGTGCTCTTCCCCTTCTTTCAACTTGCCGAGCACAGGCCCAGCCGTGAGGACGAGGCTGTGGGAGCTCGCCTGGCGGAACTGGAGTGGCAGGAATGGCAGGACGTGACGGAGACTGGCGAAGGGCTAATCCTACCCCCACTTAAAGAACATAAAAAAAGGTTACAAACAGCAGGAGGCTGACTGACCCCCATCAGTCTTGTTTGGTTGCTACTAACTGGTCTGAGGATCTCCTCCGGGTCTCGCTCACACTTCCAAGAGTGGAAGACGTGGGGGGGGGGGCTTTCGCCCTGACCCGTTACGGGAGCATGGAAGCGGCAGATTTCCAACACGGCCGAGACCCGGCGCGTAGCGAGCGAGGCGCCGCCTGATCACGTGTACAAGACGGGGCCCGGCCCAGCTCCACCCCCGGGGCGCAGAGCCGCCCCAGCTTGCGCCGGGCACATTTTGACATTGGCCTTCGTGGCGAGGGTCACGGCCCACCGGAGACCGCCGCCCAAACCCTCATTTCCAGCTGTCGGTGAGCGTGCATGCAAAAGGGATGAGGACGGGGATGACCTGAAATATTTCCCTCTTCGGCACGTAATGACAATTGTTTCTTTCCTCAAGTAATCACAAAAGCAGAGTTCTTCAGATTTGTGTTGGTTTTGCCGTTTCTTTTAATCAACAGTCCCAGTGTTTTTTTAATTGTTGGACAGAAGAGTTCAATTCACACTCCGACCTCATGGATAATTACAGTTACTGGAATATTCTCTATGCGAGTCATTTCCTGACTCATTCTGACAGTCTGCGTACATGGTGGAACTATTGCAATATGTCAAAGAATAAGAAGCGCTCCTGGACACATAGATCTCAAGACCCTGGCCTCCGAGACCATTTGTTCTTTTTCTTTGCCATTTAAAGATTTTTCCTACGTTTCTTTTCAGACAGGTGACAGAGGCAAGTGACGACTCAACAGCAGGGGCCCAATTAACATCGCTGAGCTCCACCCAGATACACCGCAGCCCTGCAGACAGAAGTACCAGCGAGATACCAGGGCCACCACTGCACAGCTCATACTGGGAAATGCACAGCTGTTAATCCATGTGCAACAACCAGCATTAGTGTCTATTACATTATAAAATATATTAAGCCCCACCCCATGCACACATACTTTCGTACATATGTGTAAAGAGGTGTTTTAAAAGGAAATTATTTGAGCTAGTTCCTTTTTAAAGCAACGTATGAGAGAGTCTGACAGAGATCAATGGTACCATAAAGTTCCACCCCACGGCCACAAGAGGGCAGTGGGTGCACGAGTTTGCGGTGCTGTACTAGCAGATCATGGCCAGAACGTTCTGCAAGCATTCCCGCAAATCTTTCGCTTCCCTGGGGTTTCCTACAATCCAGCGTGTGCCTGCGCGTGTGTGTTAGGGCCATTACAGTGCTCCAGGCACTCCTCAGCCCTGCATGTTTTCTAGCTTTCTTTGAATCCTGCTGTTCATCAATAGAGGGCTTAGAGACGGCATCCTTCCAATCACGTAACTGGCTTAATTTAATGAAGTGAGAGCCCTGCAGCGATGCAGAGCGCAGTCGCCTGGTGTCTCTGAAGTCTGGAGCTGACCAGCACTGGCCTGCTTGATCAGCGGGAGAAATGCCAGTCAGTTATCTGATGGACATCGACAGCTCTAGAGGGGGCAGAGACGAGACTCCTGCATGAATCCACAGAGCCTGCACCGGTGGCGACCAGCCCTGGCGCCAGTGGCTTCACTCGCAGGACAGAAGCAGAGTATAGAAGACGGCAGCTGCCCTCTGCTCTGCGTTTCTAGCAGCTTCCTCCATCGTCAGACAGAGCAGCGCCTGGCAGGTGGGCCAGACTGGGCCGGACGCTGCTCTGTGGGAATAAATGCCCCCCAAGACGTCAACCGCCCACCCCAGTAAAGTGGCACCTCGTATCGAATAGGAGCCGATTCCGCTGATGGCTTTGAGAAGGCATGCTTCCAGTCTGTGGACTACTTAGCGGAGGTACGCTACTTCTAGTAGTGCATAGCTGACACCCTGTCGTGAGCCGCGCGCTCTTTAAGGAACAGGACCGTGCCAGACAGCCCCCTCGTTTCCCACGAGGAGTCCGGTCTCCACACTGCCACAGCCAGGACCCATCATGCCCGCCTGCGCCCACCACTGCGGACAGGTCCCTGGCCAATCACGTGGCGCCCTTCCCTTCAGAGCTGGGGCTCCTGCGCTGGCTTAATCAGTGGGCACACCTGAGGGGCTGCAGGAAGACGGAAAACTTCTGCAGATCACACCGCCTGGGCAGTGCAGACAACATACTGGGAGTATATGCCAACACGCACGCATACAAATTCTGGACAGATGCAGAAATGCACACTGTATGTGTGTACATACAAGAGAACGATGTACATGGTTTGGTGTGAATTTTTTTTAAATAAGTAGCAGCTGGTACATTTTCCGGAGCACTTCATGTAAAAAAAGCTTTGCAAAGTCTTTACCATTGCCAAAATATGCCACCTCTGTATTACAGAACAATATCCAGAACCACATGAATGAAAGGGGTCGCACAAGGGTCGCTTGTCCAGGCCTGGGAGCCTGCAGGTCTCCAAGCCGCGCAGCCCGAGTCTAACCCATCCCTCCCTCTGTCTCGCTCTGTCTGTCCAGGGTCTTGTCCCTTTTTAGCCCAACAGCCACAGGCTCCTAAGTGTCGGCATCGATCCTGTGAGCTGCAAGGGGGAAAAGACGACAGGGGCTGATTGAGGAGAGCGTCCTTCTGGAGCAGGAGAGGAAAGGCAGTGTCATCGCCTTTCACACAAAACCACAGACGGCAGGACGGTGCCCGAGGTGCACACAGGCACTTCTCCGGCACGTTGACTGATTTTGAATTAAAAAGAGCAAAAAAAGTGAAACTGTCAGACAGTTCTACTACTTGCAAGAGAAACGGCAAGAAATGATTAGCAGAGACGAGAAAAAAAGACAGCAGAACCTGTTATTTTGCATAATGGATTAGCCTTGCATGATTTTGCCTTTGGCTCTCTGTACACAGCACTGTCTCAGAGAATATATTCTGATATACTGCATACTGACACTGATATTAGTTTCTAGGAAGGATCTTCCCACCAGATCTGCAAAACATCACTAAACCAGCAGCGATCTGGCACTTGACAAAACTGCAGCCAGGAGTTGGTCATCCAACACTTCACACACAATAATATACGTTGACAACAGACGTGTGGGAGGCGTAATAGGACGTGGAACAGGGTTACAGAGGGAACGTCTTTTTTGAGAACCCTCTACCCACTGAACCCCTGTCTGTTCTAGTGGAATCAGGTAGCAAGGGGGAGCTGCATTCCTGTGTGAGGGGGCTCAGCACTGGGTAATGAGCTCGCCTCTCGAGGTATGAAAGCAGGCCAGCACAGACCTGAGTTACTGAAGTGGCTGGTTTGATTGCTAAAGGAAAGCTAGAGGACAATAAGGTTAGAGGGCTGAAAGCAGGTGAGGGGCTCCCAATGGTGGAGCCAGGTCTGACTGCTGCTGACCTTTGTAGAAACTGGACGCTTAACACACGCTGGAAATCTAAGTAATGACTAACTGGGAAGAAACGTGTGTGAGGGGCTGCTAGATCGGAAGACAACTGCAAGATCTCAGTCAGTGGCGATGTGGCACCCCACAACAGCCACAAAGGGGCGTAACTCACATTGCTTTGGTATCCTAAGCGCCTCCGTGTCTCCCGACAGGACCTGGTGCATCACGCCCCGGAACTGATACAGCACCTTCAGGCCCTTCTCCTCTCCCACACAGGGGTCGTAGAACCCGGGCAGGCCCGCCTGCAAGAGACAGGAGGATGCAGCGTCAATCAGCTGCCGTGGCCGAGAGCCAGGAGCAGGGGCCATCAGTCATTCAGCTCAGTCAAAATCCAATTCTGAATGATGGACTACTCATACATATTCAACCTTTTTATTAAAAAGTGCTATATTATCACACGTTGAGCCTCTGGGAACAGCAAGAACGCCTTCAACAGGACAGGGTGTTTCCCAATGGGGCTAGAAATATCCCGTCCCTATCGGGAGCTACCTTCTGAGAATAATGGCGAGGGACTGAACTGCATGTTCCCGCAGTTCACAATACGAGCGAGTAGACTGCTCTAATATAGACCATTCACATCTTAACTTTATAAAATGTTTTACACGCTATTCTTAACTTCTTCTTACGGCTTAACGGACTTTTCAAGCCTACCGCCTTAGAACAAAGTGTAACGTACATCAAGTTTGGTATAATGCACACAGAGAGGTTTAACCTGTGTATTGTGCTTTAGGTCACATTCATGCTTCACAAGTGGTGTTCTGTCATTTAGCAGGCTAAATGTTATATGCAAATGCATTACATTAGCACCACTGTGCCTGTCATAAGCAGTGTGGGCTGTATTTTTTTACTGTACATCCTGAACAGGACATCGCTGCCCACAAGAGCAGTAGGCTGATGTTGACTGAGCACGCTGTACTGTACGTGCTGCAGGACGAGCTGCTGTGCTTTACCTTCGAGGCTTCAGTGAGGATAAGTTTGGAGTCCTTCACCAGACACTGCAGGGGCACCGTCACGTCGATGACCTTCGCCCTGTCGTGCCTTCGGCTGTTGTCCGTCACGAATTTGCCATACCAGGCGTTGAGAATGATGAGGCCTGGCAAAGGATACTGGTTAACGCTCGTTACCACCACCATCATCATCATGAAAAAGGAAGGTCTACAGCCACTTGAATTTAGTTTGTGTCAGCTCAGACACCCACCAAGCAAGAACAAAATACTCATGCCTAGTCCCTCCATTCTGGTATTGCATTTACAGCGTTTTTCTGTGGTATATTCCTCATCACAGTTACATAGTTTGGAGATTCAGCAGTTCTGCTACAATGTTCAGCAGCAAACTGTTTTTTTTTTACCTGACAGTTTTCTAGAAAATACCCCAAAAATACAAAAGCAATTCTTTGTCTTTATTAGCTCTGTGACTGACGTAAAACTAGCTAAGCTGTTTTTTTGATGGGACACAAAATCAGCTGATCGTGGAAAAAGCTGAAAACCACTAATACGACACTTCATTAAAATAATAAGCAAAACTATGAAGGCTTTTCCTGACTCAATAACAGCCAAAATCCACTAATTATTTCTTCAGCTGTTAATCCACTCACCCATCCTAGATTCCTCTGCTTCGATAATCCTGCGGACCGACTCCTGCATCAGCCGCACCTGCGTAGGAGGACAGTGGGAATTAGGCCCTTCACACTTCTTTTCCTGGGCCAATATACGAAGCTCTTACTGAGCATTAGATAAGCTGTGGGTTCTGTTAAACGGTCCAATGCAGTAACAGTCTGCTATAACCAGGCTGCGCTAAGGGGTCCTGCAGTATTAAAAAAAAAAAAGAGAAAATCCACTACACACCGAGTTCTCAATCACTCCTACACCAGGCACGTAAGTATCAGCCTTTTGCATCAGCTCCTGCCTGGTGCACAAGGTCTGACAAACAGATGTGCCCGATGTTCTGTCGCTACTGTATAATCGGCATGTCAGCCTACCTAGATCCCTTCTGTTACTTATTGCTCCATGTCTCCTTGGCTAGGAGTCCTAAACCAACAGCTTGGTGTGCACAGCTGCCCAGCCCAGCTCAAACAGACCCTGCTGTCATCTACCAGGTCTCATCAGCTTTCTTCCTCTTGAATACTTACAGCCGACTCTGCCTCCTGCTTTTTCCGGGCGATGTCCGTGGCGGCACTTTCCCTGTGCTTCTCCAGCTCCCTGCACAGGGAAACGTGCAGAAAGTGTGGGAGGAGGAGGAGGAGGAAGGAATAGAGAAAGGATAAGAATCAGAACGGTGGCGCACCCGTGCAAAATATATTACAGCATTTCAAGGAGATGGACCGGGGCTAAAATATCGAACCACTGAAACTGCTGGAGCCTCAGCTGATGCCAACAAGCCTGCGCAGACGTTTTGGGCTAATTGTACACGAGACGTCAGCGGACCGAAGAGGAAATTAAGTTTCCAGGAGCACCGGAGACCGGAAACAGGAGAGTGTCTTTGCACGGGGGATGTGAGAATCTAGAGTCAGCTCCCCAGATGCGAGGCTGGGATACAGGTGCCTGGGCTGAACACAGGTCTTGCACTGAAGCTCGAGTGGATCCAAGATGGGACATCGTGGATATAGCTATCGTTTAGGTGGAATTTACTGGTCTACAGAGATCTGCATGGAGTACAAACACACAGAAGACATGATGGATGGATTGATTGATACCTTCATCATTTCCTTTTTTTTAAATTATATAATGTCAGCATGCCCAAAAGGGTAGGACAGCCAGTTGACCTTGGACCCCCCTAGAAGTTTTTTTCCTCATTAAGGAGTTTTTGGTTCCTCTCCTCCATTGTCTCCTGGTCTTTTCTGTTCTGTATTGACAAAATGTATCATCAATTGCATTGTTAAGCACCTTGGGGCAACCTTGTTGTGAAAGGCGCTATATAAAAATAAAATAAATTGAATAGAATGGAGTGTGGCACCAGCTGTCCCCCCCCAGCTCCGGGGCAATGGCGATGTGACCGGGCGAGGCAGGCTTACTGCTCCTTCTGGCTGCGCACGTAGGGCTTGATGATTAGCCGGTGGATGGCCAGGTAGAAGACAAGAGGCCCCACCGTGGCGTAAAACACGGCGCTGGGCAGGAGCTGATCCGTCAGGTGGATGGGGAAGAAGTACGTCTGGCTGGCTCTGTTCAGCCTGTGGGGGGGGGGAATCAGACAGCAGCCGGGGGTCAGAGCAGGCGCAGAGCTTACAGGTACCCGTCACTGCTTCGGGTCTCGGAGGACAGGAGCGGGCAGCTTCACCAGCCCACGCCAGCCACCGGTGAGCAGCGCTGTAGCAAATCAAGCCCATCTCGGCACGAGAAACTCCAGCCAGACCGTTCATTTTGTCTGAGCTCCACCCAGGAGACTACAAATCGTTGGCTGAAAACAATGGGCGATTGAGGAATCAGAAAATAAAAAACAAAAGACTAACAGTGCATTAATGCCCCTTCGTGGTGAAATAGCAATTAGCAATTCTTGTCATTTTTCCTCTATAGATAATGTCGAAATTCCCTTTCAATTCTGTCATTATGTATTGGAACTGCATGTGCATATAACTTTGAGGAAATTACATAAAATTACTGACAGAATTATACATAAAAATGGATTAAAAAATATGGAGCAACTGGTGCAAAAAAGTGGCTCTAGAACGCTCAATAACGTACTTGATTTTGAGGGACACACCCTGGGGGACCCCGACACTGACGGTCGCCCCCAAAACACTGTGGCGGCTGATCTTCCTCTCAGCACCATATTCAACCACGGTGCCGAAAAAGCCCGTCCTGCAGGGCGAGACAACAAAGGAGACATCAAAGAGAGTCGCACCAGACCCGCTGACCCACCCCAACCAAGCCAGCACACTCCTCTTGGTAGGCAACCATCACCAATCCCACTCACACAAACACATCCAACTTCAAACAATATCACAAAGAAAGCGATGCTCATTCATTACTCTTTGCACATGCAGAAGCAGGGACAGATAATCTAGGACTGTGGAAAACTGGGTATTTAAGGTGCCTATTCAGAAAAACACATTATAAAACCCGCTGAGCTATGAAAGCAACTTGTAAACTGTTGTGTGACAGTTAACAATCTTACAAACTAAATCCCAGATCCTGCAAGCTTTCGTTGAAAGCCTGCAAAGAGCATCATTTTTAAACTGCTTCTTCTTCCGCGCTGCTGAACAGAAGCACTCGAGAGTCAGGTCCTGAAGTCAGCGCTGAGCTGCGCGGGCGCAGTGTAGGCAGAGGTTCTCACTTGACAGAGCCCTTGATCTTGGTCTGGTCCTCATCCTGGAATTTGTACTGGTAGCTGAGCATCATGAAGGAGTGAGGGATCCCCAGCTGGCGACAGAGCAGAGAGAGCCGGTGAGGAAGGTGTGGCTGAGCTCAGTCGGACCTGAACTGCACTGCCAATTCTAGTGTGCAAAGCATGCTAATTGTTCATAAACCTCACACCATGCTGAGATAAAAGCATACCGTGATATAGCACTGGTTTAAGACACGAAAATGTAAAAATGTGAAATTCATCCCCCCCTCATATAATATCATTTGCAAAATATTTCAGTAAACCTAGGCCCTGATGTGTGAGCCATTATAATCCGCCAAGCTCAGAGGCGGGCGGTGAGCAGCAATAGAACCGACTGGACAGCAGTGCTCAAAAGCCAGAATACTGTTCGCCCTACCACGAAAACAACATGGAGGGACAAGGAATAGCAAATCGCTTGCGTTTATACAGCATTTTACACCTTTATCGTGCAGGAGGGGACCCCCTCCACCTATCACAGGTTGAACTAGGGGGAAACCCTGGGCATGCCTGGACTGCGCAAGCCCGAAGAGGAATTCGGCCAAGTCGCCTGGGCTGACACTCCTGCTCACCCGCTGTATTTAAACCTCCCATATTAGGCTGTACGGCCCTGATGGAAACAGGCAAAGCACCAAGCAGGAAACGCAGCAGCTGAATGCACATTACAGGGCCCGCGGCAGGCGGGAAACGCCCCACTGCTCCCCTGCTCCTAGTCCCAGGCCGGACAGACGCCTCCACCCACAGTCACGTGTATGACTCCCAGACTGGCTGTTCTTACATGCACAGGCCCGAGCCCCGGGCACCGAGCCCCGCCTGCGCTCTCACCTGCAGCGCGAAGGTGAAGTGGCTGGTCTTGGTGTCCCTGACGATGCTGGTGTTCATGGCGGACTGCGTGCCCCAGCGCCACTGCAGGTAGCCCATGGTGTTCTTGTCCAGGTGCCGCGCCAGGACCGTGGTGAGGCCGGGGCGCACGCCGCGCGAGGAGAACTGCAGGCCGCACTGCGAGGTCACGAAGCTGCGGGGGGGGGGCGGGGAGAGTCAGGGCTCCTGCACGCCCAAACCCCGGCGTGCTTTCACTACACCGAGAGCTGAAACCCGCTGTCGCCTCCAGAGAGCACCACTGGGGGGCGCTCAGTGAGTGGCACACGACCCATATTTACATGGGGCGGAGCGGTGGCTCTGAGGCTCAGGATCTGCGCCTGTGGCTGGAAGGTTGCCGGTTCGAATCAAGCAGCTAGCAGAGGAATCCTGCTCCGTTGGGCCCCTGAGCAAGGACCTTAACCCCAGCTGCTCCAGGGGTGCTGTACAATCGCTGACCCTGCGCTCTGACCCCCAGCTTCTCTCCCTGTCTGTGTGTCTGTGTGTCTCATGCAGAGCAAGTTTGGGTATGCGAAAAGACAAATTCCTAATGCAAGAAACTGTATCTAGCCAATAAAGCGATCTTATCTTAATTTTATCTTATATACCGAGGGCGCTCTGCAATGCTAGCTAACAGCCTGAGGAACCACCTTCCTGGCCACATCTGTGAGAGGAGAGATGCATCGACTTAGCTTCCCTAAAAAACACACAATGTGCTCCTTATCTCTCAAACGGTCCTATAATCTCATTGTCATCTACCTTGAGATCCACATAAAGATGTTAAAATCTCAGCACTGCCAACCCTCCGTAAAGCACTTTGCCCTTGGTGTCCAATATGAGCCCCCAGCACTCGCCATATGGACAAAGGCCCTACCATCCCAAGAAGGCCAATCGACGTGCATCCCAAGCAGTTCATATTTAAGAGTCTTCCAGACCGTACTGTATAGGCACAGTGTAGTTTAATACAAAGACTTCCATCATTTCATCTCAAACTGTCCATGCACACTTTAGTACTCCCCCAGTGTATGTGGAGTGCTCAGGGATTCTTCGGAATAAAAAGAGCTTAGAAATACAAACCATTCCTGTTAATTACAACAGAGGCTGACAATCCTTACACCGTGAATCAAGGTATTATTGACTTAATTAATTCTATAGAACCTAAAGAGAGTAAAAAGATTTTTTTTTTAAAACGCTACTGCAATATTTCAGGCCAGTCCCCAGTTTATTCTCGTGTTAAATTTGTTCATCCACATCCGGGGGAAGATTTGAACTGTGGGGAGGGGAGAAAGCTTTGAAAATAACAACCCAAAAAAGACCACAGGAGTCAGGTCACCTTTGCAAAATAAACTTATTTCTTTCTTCTATAAATAACACCAATAGGCGTGAGGAAAGTTTAAAACCAGCGCCGGGGCATTATTCCCCTCTTTTTCATTAAAAACCTATTTTCCCTCTTCCGCAGCGCACTGCTCAAGAACAGCGCGGCGGCTTCTGCTTTGGGGAGGAAGCTAAATAAAATCTGCCCGCGACTCGGCTAAGCAGTTACTGTGTCAAGTGTTATAAAAGGACCAGCTCGCGCTTGGTTTCTCGCCCTCCTACGAGAGGAGAAAGCCAGTAATTGAAGTGGAAAAAAACAACAACACAGGTTTCATATCCTGCGTGTCCCAGGAGTAAACAAGGTGGCATGTCCTTTCCAATAAACTCATGTGAATCACAGAGCCCGGCCAGCCTGTTCTGCTCTGCCAGGTGGATATTTTCTCCTGCTTGTCCTAGATAGCAGCTGGACCAGATCCCAGAACGGAGCTACTCCGCTGAAATTCCGGCGGGGCGAGGGGGGTGGGAGCACTGCTGTGATTGCACTCAACCCTAGATAAACAGGGAAAAGCAACCAGCAATTCTTGAGTGGACAGACACTGTTTAAATGCACGGTGCTTGTAAGCACATAGCGAATGGTTATAAATGAGACAAGACTGGCACACCTAGCCCATTCGGTAGCCAGTGGTTAATCAATCACAGGATCATCCAGCCCTTAATTGAAAGGCTACTGGCTTAAACTACCTGGCTGGGCAGTTGGTTCCATACTCCCATCAGCCTTTACTGAAGAAGTGCCTCCCCTCTTTCAGTTTTCATTGCAACGTCTACGGACCACTCAGACAACTGTATCTTGAGACCGAGGTACTACACTGTATTTGCCTGTGACTTTGATTTTTAATACAATGACCATAGGCAAGTCACGAAAGATGTTATAGTAGAAAGATCAATTGTGTTAAAACAAACAGTTTCTCGGCTGTGTTTTTATACTATGCAATACTGTTTTCTCTAAGAAAGAGGTTTGATAACCTCCACACTAAGCCCAATATAGACGTATAACTTCTAAAACACACCATTTAAAACTCACCCAAGGGACAAGCGTCAGGCTTACTGATTTATCAGAACACGCACCTTTAATTTCAGGAGAGCTGAATGCAGGATATGAGCAAGCAAGATGAACCACTGCCTTATAATAACAGTGTCAGGGACCAGTAAAAATGTGCTATAAATCAAGGGCAATGATGTAACACAGGGAATTAAAAAAAAAACACTGAACAGACAGGCACAGCGTAGCATAGCTCCCCCTTCAAGGACAGAAATATATCCAGGAACATGCTACAAAAACAATCAGGAAGATGATAAACAGTGTACGGTATTTTGTGACTAAAGCATTTAAGGGCACAGTACAGCTCTATATGGAAGAAGGGTCAATGCCTTGGGCTGTAGTGCTAAAGGAAGAAGAAACAGGCCATGTGCTGCTTTAATCGCTGCTGCTGTGCTGACTTCTCCAGGGGTCAGCAACACCTGTCAGGGCTGTCAGACAGCAGGCCTCTAGCTTAAAGAAGCCTGTGTGCTAGACAGAGGAGGGTCGGAGAAGGATGTAAGCAGCGTGGAACGTTTTAATTTTCTAGCCTACGCAGAGCATGGATGTGTTCAAAAACGCCGTGCTTTCAGTGGTTAATATACTGCACACATAGCAAGGGGAACAACTGACTACACAAAACATTTCAGGAGATCAGCACACTGAAATAATGAGCACTGAGACGTCAACCGTGTGCACTTTAGACGCAAGCAATGCTTAGGCTCTGTAATTAAAAGGAAACCGCAATCTTTCTGTACAAGCTGAAGTATCAGTGGACAGGAACCATGTATAGTTACACCCTCCTTTCAGAAAGCCTACCCTGTTCAGTCACACAAAGATGATCTTCTGCTGTTGCCGGCATCGTAAGATTTACATGTTTCTCTTCCTGCAATACGATTAGATGGTGGAGTTGAGGAATCTCAAGACTCTCTTCCTCTGCTGTCAGTATTGTTTATTAATCAGACTCACACATGTGAAATTGATTAGAACAGAGAGTCAGCCCAAACACATGCAGTGAATATTAAATAAGGAGCTTGAGTGACTCAGAAGAGGTTTGTGTGATCACATAAAATATCTCTAGATGCTTGTGATTGTCAACCTCTGTGCTAGATTACTCGTCAAAAAAGAAATACAAAATCCGTGGCAGGGCAATTACCACATTTTTATAATACATTTCATATATTTGTTTTTACTGACAATACCCTGGGTCCTGGTTGAATTTCTATCATTAATGTGGTGTAATAGAAGTAACATTACTACAGACAGGGAAGAAACCCCTGTACTTGACAGTGATGCAATAAAAGGACGGCGATAAAGTAGAGTGATACATACAGTAAAGCGGTGTGTGTGCTTGTAAAAACTGCTTCAAATGTCAGCAATTTATCCACTAAAAGCATTTTTATTTTCACATTTAGACTACAGGCAACGCCGGCCAGCACATTTTTCTTTTACACTGGACCAGTCGCTCCAAGTTTGGAAACAACCGTACAAAAAAAAAAACGTCGTCCCTCAAGTGGTCACTTAAGGACAAGCGTACCAAACTGGACAGAACTGTGCTCGGAAACTGGAATATCCACTTAACGGGAGCTTGGGTAAATCTCGACACCAGTGTACGACCTGAACCTTAAGCTCTAAAACCCATGCTAATGTTAGTGCACTCTGTGCTCTGTGCCCCCTGCCCCTCTGCCAAAAGCAGGACTCACCAGCGTGGCGTGAGGTTACGAAATATCTTCATCCCAAAGAGTGGGCCATGCATGTCCCCAGCACCAAACTCCACCTGGAGAGAACAAAGCCCACTGAGACTCGGACATGTGCTTGCCAGGCTGGAAGATCCCCCCTTGCACAAACGAGTGGCTCTGTGGTGCCGCTTCCTCAGGGTTTCTGAAGGCTGAAACTCTGGGAGGGTGGAGTCACTGCGAGCTTCTGGTGTCTCCGTCTCCAGTTACTGAGAGCATCAGCATGAGTGTGTACTGTATGTCAGCGGAGGATGATGGTCTGTGTGCACTCGTCACGAGTGTGCACATCAGTGTCCGGTAGAGTGAGAGGAGGTCTGTCTGTGCACACCAGTGTCTGGATGCCTGTGTGCGCTCATCACAAGTGTGCACACCATTGTCCGGATGAGTAAGATGTCTGTATGTGCTCGTCACAAGTGTGCACACCAGTGTCCGGATGAATGAGAAAATGTCTGTATGTGCTCGTCACAAGTGTGCACACCAATGTCTGGATGAATGAGAAGATGTCTGTATGTGCTCGTCACAAGTGTGCACACCAATGTCTGGATGCCTGTGTGTGCTCATCACAAGTGTGCACACCATTGTCCGGATGAGTAAGAAGATGTCTGTGTGTGCTCATCACGAGTGTGCACTCCAGAGTCCGGATGAATGAGAAGATGTCTGTATGTGCTCGTCACAAGTGTGTACACCAATGTCTGGATGCCTGTGTGTGCTCATCACAAGTGTGCACACCATTGTCCGGATGAGTAAGAAGATGTCTGTATGTGCTCGTCACAAGTGTGCACACCAGTGTCCGGATGAGTAAGATGTCTGTGTGCGCACACCAGTGTCCGGATGAATGAGAAGATGTCTGTATGTGCTCGTCACAGGTGTGCACACCAATGTCTGGATGTGCTAGAGGGTGTCTGCATGCTCTCACCATGAGTGTGTACACCAGTGTCTGGAGGAGTAAGAGGGTGTCTGTGTGTGTACTATACTGGAGCACTGGGACTGAGAGACAGCAGGGAGAGCAGCCTCAGCTTTCCCAGGAGGTCTCCCATCCAGGTACTGACCAGGCTCACACCTGCTGAGCTGCAGTGGGCCGCCAGCTGTGAGCTGCAGGGTGATATGGCTGCTCACCGCCTGTAGCTGCACACGCACGCGTCCGGATCTGCCCTCACCTCTCCCCAGCCCTTCGCGGAGGTGACGCGGCGCAGCGCCAGGCTGATGTTGCCCCCTCCGTTGCCGTTCTGCGTGGAGAGCGAGCCAGACAGGATGGCGGTGTCCGTCGTGGTCAGAGGGGCCTGCGGAGACCACATGGTCACTCCTACTGCCGCGTGTGCACCACGCCCACGGCCCACTTCGGCTTTCGTGGACCGCAGGCTTGCACAAGCAGCCAAGAGCCGCTTATTCCAGACAAGTTGACACCAGGACGCACAATCAAAGGTGAACAAAAACTGGTTGACAAAAAAATTAATTATTCAAAACACAGTAAAAAACACTGATTCCTCCCACCATCCCCGGTACCCCCACTGTATTTCCTACCAAAGCTCCCCTAAAATGACATCCGAGAAGTAAGTCAGATATTCCACACAGGTAAGGACTACAGCAGCAGTCTGAAGAGTGGGGCACAAACACACTCTTCTCCCCTTGGGCAAGCTAGAACAGGCCCTCGAGTCCTCACATCAGTGCCCATACCCTTCAGTAATCTCTTCCATTCAATCTCTTCAACCAGAGGTGAGGGATGTTGGGAAAAAGGCCAACAGCGAGATAGCTGAGCTGGAAGGCAAACATGCAGACACTCTGGTCCGCCATGACTGAAGTTGGATCTCATTGGTCTAAGCCATCCATTTAAAAAAGCATCACTGCCACTGCCAGTTTTTTTATTTGCCGAATCGCTACAGACTCTTATTCAGTAGGTCTATAGACAGTCACACAACTCGAGCAATTAAATGCCATTTCTATGCATCGTGGTATAAACCTGATCTCTCGGTGATGCTATCTCGACATTGATGTGGCGTATCTCCACTGTGCTACATGCCTGTGCAACGAAAACAGCTTCCAGCAGAAGTAAATAAACAGCTCCTCCAAAGGCTCCAAACCACCGGGCAAGCAGGCAGGCTGCGACGAGCTGGCGGCTGTGGGCTGTACCTCTATGGACTGCGAAATGTGCATCTTGTTGATCTCGATCTGTGGGAAGCCTCCCCCTGGCATGTCTTCATAATCTTCTTCGTAGTGATCGAAGAGGTCAGTGGCATCCACTCCCACGCTGATCGTCCCCTGAGAGAGACACGGCCGGCACAGCACAGAGACACCGGCTCAGTTTGGGCAGGTACAGGTACACACAGCACAGAGACACTGGCTCAGCTTGGGCAGGTACAGGTACACACAGCACAGAGACACTGGCTCAGCTTGGGCAGGTACAGGTACACACAGCACAGAGACACCGGCTCAGCTTGGGCAGGTACAGGTACACACAGCACAGAGACACCGGCTCAGCTTGGGCAGGTACAGGTACACACAGCACAGAGACACTGGCTCAGCTAGGGCAGGTACAGGTACACACAGCACAGAGACACTGGCTCAGCTAGGGCAGGTACAGGTACACACAGCACAGAGACACCGGCTCAGCTAGGGCAGGTACACGGACACACAGGGCCAGAGCATTTACTTCATTTATACCGACAAGCACTCAATTGTTGAAATGAATGAAAAGACTGGACTGAAAAGACTGAAACTTTATTGTGAGTTTATTACGATAAGTTTTGTTTTAAAAACTGTGCCACCTTATTGTCCGTTTTAAATCTTACGATACTGGATTGAGTTCTAACTGAGCAATGTTGGTAAACGCTGTTTTTGTATCGTGGTATTGTACCATTCCTGTATTGTACTGCTGTCATGCGTCTGATACGTTTTGAGCTCTTCATGTGCAAGAAAAATAAGGGGCAACAAAGGTTCACTCAGTTCATTCGAACAGACAGCCAGCGAGCGTGGCGAGAAGACGGGGGGCTGATGAAGACGGCCGCTCTCCTCACCTTGGGGTTGGTCCTCTGCTGCAGCCGCCTCTCGTCGCGCTCTCTCTGCAGCCGCTCGAACTCCTCCCGGATCTCCGCCGGGGTCCTCTTCCTCTCCACCACCTGGAAGCGGGAGGGCAGCGGGGCCGGGAGCCCCGACTCCGCGTCACCGGCAGGTAGCGCAGGGCTCCGGGCGCCGGGGAGAGGACAGCAGCTCGGCCGGCCTACCGGCTCTGGGGATCAGAGCTCATCCCCGGCACCGCGGGCTCAAGCCAGCACATCTCCCCTAGACGGGCCGCCGGGCTCCTGCAGACGACCGCAAGCCCCAGCGAGCGCTGCTGGTACCCATTTACACCACGGTCAAACACAGAGCAGCAGCAGCAGCAGCACAGATGGCTACATCTGCAAATCCACTGCCTGCGGTCGAGAGCTGCAGAGCACCATGTGCAGGGGGCACAGCCCTGCCACAGCAGAACAACAGCGATGCCCACAGAACGGCTCTGACTCACAGCCCTCGCCCGCGTGCGGCACGCCCAGACACACCCGCGTCCGACCGCCCCCAGGGCCCGCGTGGACCACACGGCCGGGCAGGAGGCGGATCGACGGCGGAGGGGGAAATCGGAGCGCTCCACGTGTTCGGGAAGCGTCGCCGTGATCACCGCAGCAGGGCTCAGCAGGGGATGAAAGCAATGCCCCGGTCCTTTGCGAAAGACCACCGACCGCAGGTGTACACCGTATAGGGTGCAACTGCAGTCCGCTGTACTGTTACTGCAAATTGTGTTGGCAATAAGAGATGTGTGATCACCGCACCACAGAGTAAGGAATGACTGCGTTCTGCATCGGCGCACTTACCTCCCATCCTTCCACCTCCAGACCCCTCTTCCCGTAGACATCGTAGATGGCCCTGGACTGTGGATCGCTGAGCACTGCGGGCACACAGAGGGAGAGGGAGTGGGAGGGGGTTAGAGGGCAAAACCAATGTGCTTCTCCTGAACCTCCCTACTGGCCCAGAGCTGGCCAGGCTGCATCTAAAGGCTGAGGGGTGAGGAGGAAGGAGAAAACAGCAGCCCTGCAGCTCACAGCTGGCAGCCCCACTGCAGCTCAGCAGGTGTGAGCCTGGTCAGTACCTGGATGGGAGACCTCTTGGGAAAGCTGAGGCTGCTGCTGGAAGAGGGGTTAGTGGGGCCAGCAGGGGGCGCTCACCCTGCGGT